GGATCATTTCCACGTCGCGATGAGCGGTTACCAGTTATCCCCATCCCGGCAGGTTTCGTGCTATTTCATCGCACTGGGTTTTACAATGTAAAGTTTCTAAACTCAGCCAGGACACCCCGTTTATTCTAGCAGTATAAACAGAAAATCTGCCACGTAGGATGCCAAAAGGAACACAGAGTTCCCTCACTCCCATCGCACACTACAACAGCCCCATGCCATAACTGCGCTCACTCGCTATTAGTGTATTATTATTTTTATAATACCCAGATGCGTGCTTAGGTACTTGACAGTACAAATAAATTAAAGCTCAAGAAAATATCTTGCAGGGGGCAATCGCGCATTAGCAGAAGGAGGGATTAGACCCAGGAGAACCTAATTGGGGTGGAATAAACCCAAAGAACTACACACAAACGTGATTCCTGCAAGATGATGAGAGCTCTGGGAGCTGTTGGTACTCCTGGTCACCAAAGGAGATCCTGAGCTACCTCCACACCGGCACCACCTCTCCAACAACTGGAGCCTTGCATTTCTGCATGGTGCCACTGGTTTACAGCGGTGCCCACGGGGAATCGGAGCCCCCTCACACAGACCAGGTTAACATCAGGAGTCAAAGCGCTGGCAGAGCTCACCCATCCTCCTGTTGCCTCTGACCAGGAAAACTCAGGGGAAGGAAGTCTCTGGGAAGCAGCTCTGCCAGTCCTCCCGCCCCTGCTAATGCCAGCATGGCCACATGTGGGGTGACGCATTTTTTTTTCCTCCTCAGACACACTAAAAATACATCCTTTAAGGCATCTGTTTCCACAAACAAGGCTCAACCCCTAGTGCGCTGCTTAAAACCTAAGTATGGAGGCTATCAAACTTCCCCTGCTCACCTTCTAGGGGAGTCTCTTTGAACTGAACTAATTGTGGGAAGATAATCACAGCCCCCAAGGGCTGCCTGTTACCCGATCACACACAGACACCAGCAGCAACGAATTAAGGGACTTTACAGGGGCTGAGACCAAGAAACAGGAGAAAATAAATTGGGTTTGAAAGAAAATAACACATTCTTACTACCAACCCACTCTCTCTCTCACAAAGCAAAACCAGGAGGCTCTTAAGGAAGTGGCCAAGACCCACAAGAAATAGCCCGCTGAAATACTTGACTTCCCTGCAGAAGGTCACTCCCTGCCTCTTGGCCTCCTCCTCCGCCCTGGGACTTCAGAAAACACCCTCAGCCCAGGGCCACCTCGCTGCCTGCAGTCCCAGCGCAGGCCAGAGTCCCCCAAATCTCACCAAGCACCTAGAGAAGTGACAGCAAGAACCTGCCATTAGTCTTTGCTATTCCCAGTTACTTCCCTGCAGGAAGTCGGAGTGGACCTAGACCTCGATTCAGGACGGTGCCCACCTCTCTGTGAGCCACCTTTTGCATCTGGAACCGCACCGGGCCCTCCTGGAGAGCTTCCCAACTCCTCCCAACCATCCCCCAAGAGGCAGACAACGGTTACAGGACCCGAAAACACACAGGCTGCGTTACCGAGGCTGCAACAGGATCCTCTCCACACCTCCCATTTTCTCTTTCCCCACCAAACCCTGGGCAATAGCGAGGTGCCCTCCTCCCAAAACCCTAAACCACTCGCCAGCCACAGCTCTGTTCTTCCCAGGACCTTGGGGTGTGATAAGAGACCCACAGGCTCCATTCTCAAACACCGTCCTCAGGACACCGGTACCTGGAGAAACCAGAGAGGACCTAGACAGCCCAAACCCCAACGGGCTTCGTATTCACATGGCCACTCCTCAAAAACTGGAGGAGCAAGAAAATCCCCCCAGGAACTGGGGCCCCAAAACAAGACACCAACTTATTTGCACGAGATGTTACAGCTGAAGAGTTGGGGGGGATCACAGCCAGCCCCTCTCTGAGCCCGGTGCTGGAGGTGGGAGGCTGCCCCCCACTCCTCAGCCCCCCCAGGGCAGGAAGGGGGCAGCAGCTCAGGCCCAGGAGCTGGGGAAGGGAATGCTAACAGTCCCAAATCCCAGAGCTGAAGAGAGGGAGCCAGGAGCTGTGGGGGCACATGAACAGCCCCTGGGCCCCCCCAAAGCCTCCCCCAGCTGTGAGAGGTCTCAGTCTGTCCTTTGCTACAGGGGGGGGCACGACCAGAGCCCCTCCCTATTGCCAGGAGTGTCAGGGAGGGGGGACCAAGCCCAGATCTCCCCAGGAGATGCAGGTGGGCACTGTCAGCCCCTGCTCTGCTGGGGAGGGAGGGGAGCACGGCCAGGCTCCCCACAGACAGAAAAGAGGGGGGTCACGACCAGAGTCCCCCCACACACCAAAAAAACCCAAAAAAACAACACAACCCTGGGGGAGAAGGATGCGCTCAGCCCTCCCAGCAGACGCAGGGGAACACGACCGCTCCCCCGCACCCCAAAATCCCGAAAGGGATGGCTATTACCTGCCCCCCCCCCAATTCCAAAGGGGGACGGTACAGGATGACAGTTAGGCCGCCACCCCCCAACCCAATCTCACGGGGAGGGTGGGGATAAGCGGGACCTCCCCCCAAAGCCCGCGGGGAGAGGGGGGCGGCCGCGACAGCCCCCCGGATCCTGCCCAGGCTCGGGGATGACCGTGACCCCCCCGAGGCACGGAGGGGAGGGGCCGGCCGTTACCACAGCCCGAACGGGGAGAGGGAGGGCTCCCCAGGCCCCGGGGCGGCGGAGGGCGGGGGGGGGGAAGAAGAGCGGCAGCACCACCAGCCCCCCCCCACGTCTACCCGAGCCCCCCCGGGCCGCGGGGCAGGCGGGGTCCCGCGGCGGTACCTGCTGCAGCGGGCGGGGGGCGGCCGGTTCCCGCCCAGGCCCCTCCGCGGCGGCCGCTTCTCCTCAGCCACTTCCTGCTTGGCTCGCGCTCCCCCCACCCCACCCCCCCCCCGCCCGCCCTCCGCCGCCGGCCGCTCGCGCACCGCGCTCCCGCCCCCCCCCCTCCCGCGCCGCGCCATTGGCGGAGCCGCCCGCCACTCGCCGCAGCGCGCGTGACCATTGGCCATCGCCGCCGTCGCTCCGGGTGGTCGCGACTGTTCGCACTCGCCGTTGGCGGAGCGGAGGACGAGTCCGCACCTGGAGCCCGCCTACCGCGGGGTGTGCTTATTGGGGTGCGGCGGTGCCATTCAAAGCATGGTTCCCGCCCACCCCGCTGTCCCGCTTCCTATTGGTGGTTGGCGCTGGCCTGCCCACTGGGCAGCCTCGCTGCTTATTGGCTGGAAGCTTTGTTCATCAAGCCCACCCAGCTCTCCCCGCTTTCCATTGGTCAAACAAGGTTGTCCTTCAAGCACGGGCTCTCCCAGCTATTGGCCAGAGAGAATGTTCATCAGGGCGTCTCCTAGCTGTTGTTTTCTTATTGAGCAAAAGTCCTGTCGCTCAACGCCAGGGCCCGCCTCTCCGCCAGACCCATTGGTCGGAAGCTCTCAGAGGTGGTTTTAATCGTCTTCTCCCATTCGCTAGCAACGCTGTCACTCAGGGAGGAGGCTACATGCCTGCCCCGCCCACCTCCGTCCGGCACGTGATGCACAAGGCTCGGCCCCGTTGGTGAAGAGCCCTGTCACTCAGGCACGCCCCTGCCGCTTTGCTCCCCCATTGGCTGGCCTACCCGCCGGTCCGCCATGACAAAGCGACACCACCCATTGTGCCGCCTGGCCGCCACTCAACCCCAAATCCCGCCCCCTCAGGCTCTGCTCCCCATCCCATTGGCCAGTTCCCCAGCCCGAGGTTCTGACAACATCCATGCCAGCCCCTCACTGATTGGCTGACTCTGCTGCCCATCAACCGCCAACGCCCACCCCGTCCGGCCTCACTGTAAACATCCTGCGGGCAGCCGCAGGGTACGCTGGGAGGTGGCGCAGGGGGCGGGGCTCGGGCAGCCAGACCCCGCCCTCAGACACGTGTGCAGGAGGGGCACGGGGGAGACACGGGGACCAGTTCCCCCAGTAAAGAGACCCGAGACCCGGTCCCCTCCGGTACTGAGGACCCCCGGGGCCCTCCCCCAGCGCAGGGGCGGGGCCCAATCCCCCCCGTGCCAGGGACCCCCGGGGCCCAGCTCCCCCAGTGCCAGGGAGCCCCGGGGCCCAATCCCCCCAGTGCCAGGGACCCCCGGGGTCCAGTCCCCCCAGTGCCAGGGACCCCCGGGGCCCAATCCCCCCAGTGCCAGGGGGACCCGGGGCCCAATCCCCCCCGTGCCAGGGACCCCCGGGGCCCAGCTCCCCCAGCGCAGGGGACTGCGGGGGCCCAGTTCCCCCAGTGCCAGGGACCCCCGGGGCCCAGCTCCCCCAGCGCAGGGGACTGCGGGGGCCCAATCCCCCCGTGCCAGGGACCCCCGGGGCCCAGCGCCCCCAGCGCAGGGGACTGCGGGGGCCCAATCCCCCCGTGCCAGGGACCCCCGGGGCCCAGCGCCCCCAGCGCAGGGGACTGCGGGGGCCCAATCCCCCCAGTGCCAGGGAGCCCCGGGGCCCAATCCCCCAGTGCCAGGGGGACCCGGGGCCCAATCCCCCCAGTGCCAGGGGGACCCGGGGCCCAATCCCCCCCGTGCCAGGGACCCCCGGGGTCCAGTCCCCCCAGTGCCAGGGAGCCCCGGGGCCCAATCCCCCCCGTACCAGGGACCCCCGGGGCCCAGCTCCCCCAGCGCAGGGGACTGCGGGGGCCCAGTTCCCCCCAGTGCCAGGGACCCCCGGGGCCCAGCTCCCCCAGCGCAGGGGACTGCGGGGGCCCAATCCCCCCCGTGCCAGGGACCCCGGGGCCCAGCTCCCCCAGTGCAGGGGATTCCGGGGGCCCAGTTCCCCCCAGTGCCAGGGAGCCCTGGGGCCCCGTCCCCCAGTCCAGGGGCCCAGTTCCCCCAGTCCAGTGGGAACCAGACGCCCCCAGCAGCGCCCTGACCCGCGTCCCCCCTCCCTGAGGTGCCAGCACAGAGACCCCCATAGCAAAGCCTTTATTGCCCCCACGGGCCACCCCCCGCGGGCCGGCAGCCACCCGCCGCCCCCCGGCGCCCTCACTTCTTCTCCTCCTCCTTTTTGTCCTTGCTGTCCTTGGCAGCCTGCGAGGCCAGCGAGCCCATGGCGTTGCGGATGGCCTCGTTGTTGGGGTCCACGCCCGGCAGGTTCTCCAGCACGCTCTGCAGGAACTCGGGGTCCTGCATCGTCGTAGTCGTCTTCCTCCTGGCGGGAAGGAGGGAGAGGAGTTGGGGAGAGGCCCACCTCCCGCCCCGAGGGACTGGGGATGGAGGAACCCTCACCTTGGCGGGCTCGGAGGTATCCATGGCTGTGCTGCTGTCCACTTCGGCCGCCTCCGCCTGCGCAAACTCTGCCGGGGGAGAGGATTCACACACCCACCGCCCGCCCCGCAAATATTCGGGGAGATCTGGACGCTGCCCCGGTGGCAGAGCCCCGCTGTGGGGCAGGTCGGTGCAGAGGGGCGGCGGTTCCAGTCCCGCAGGCAGAAGAGCTGCTTTCCTCAGTTTACCCTTCGGGAAGGGGCCGGGGAGCCGGCAGCAGGCACTCACCCGCTCCCTGCAGCGACATTTGCATGGCGTAGGCGATCTGCTCCTCCTCCGTCATGCTGCTGAGGTCGGGCAGCCCGGCCCGGCCAAACTCCTGCTGAGTTATCGTCATCTTCAGCAGAGCATCGTCCGAATCTGCGCAGACAAACCCCCGGCTCAGAGCCCCCCCAGGCGACGCACGGCCTCGCTGGGGAAGGGCACCGGGGCAGAGCAGCTCCCTGGGGTGCTGGGGATTTTCAGGGGAAGCAGAGGTAGCTCCCCAGCTCTCTGCCATTAAACGGCCTCCCTCGGGCACTCCGGGGTGGAAACCGCCGCTCGCCCGGCACCCCGGCGGCTCCGGGAACGGCCGCACTGCGCCGAAGGGCCCCGCCGTGAACAGAGACACTGCCACAGCGTTGGGCGGCCCCGCAGCACAGGAGCCCTCCCTGGGGAACCTCCTGCCTGTCCCTGCACACGTTCCCCTGCCCACATTTCCCCTGCCCACATTCCCCTTGCCCACCTTTCCCCCTGCCCACCTTTCCCCCTGCCCACATTCCCCTGCCCACGTTCCCCCTGCCCACCTTTCCCCCCGCCCACGTTCCCCCTGCCCACCTTTCCCCCTGCCCACGTTCCCCTGCCCACCTTTCCCCCTGCCCATGTTCCCCTTGCCCACCTTTCCCCCTGCCCACGTTCCCCCTGCCCACCTTTCCCCCTGCCCACGTTCCCCCTGCCCATGTTCCCCCTGCCCACCTTTCCCCCTGCCCACGTTCCCCCTGCCCACCTTTCCCCCTGCCCTCACCGTCCCGCCGGTGGCCGCAATCCCAGCCTCGGCGGCAGAGGCGGCCGCAGCCCTCCTGGCCTCCTCCTCTTGCCGCTGCCTCTGCTCCTCCATGGAGACCCGCAGCGCCTGCGGAGACGGGGACGGGCTGAGCGGGGCCGAGCCGGGACGGACGGAGCCCGGCGCCCGCAGCCGCCCGCCCGCTCCCCGCCGCTCACCAGAGCCAGCTCCGGGTCGGCGCTGGGGTCCACCCCGAACTCGAAGTCGCTGGCGCCGAGCCCCAGCATGGCACCTCCCTCCCCGGCCAGGATCGGGGAGCTGATGAGGGCGTCGGCCAGGCTCGGCCCCGGCGGCACCGTCACCAGGTGGGAGCCGGTGCCGTCCTTGCCGTTCAGGGTGTTGATGAAGGCGGTCAGCTTGTCCGTGTTGGCTTCCTAGGGCCAGAGAGAGAGGCTGGGAGCAGCGCTCGGCCTGGCTCCCCCGCGGCCCCCGCACTGCTCCGCACACCCCGCAGCCCCCCGCACACCCCCCATCCCCTCCACACACCCCGCAGCCCCCCACACACCCCGCAGCCCCCCGCACACCCTGCAGCCCCCCGCATCCCTCCACACACCCCACATCCCTCCACACCCCGCATCCCTCCACACACCCCGCAGCCCCCCGCACACCCCGCAGCCCCCCGCACACCCCGCATCCCTCCACACACCCCGCAGCCCCCCACACACCCCAGCCCCGCACACCCGCAGCCCCCGCACACCCCCACCCCTCCGCAGCCCCCCGCACACCCCACATCCCTCCCACCCCGCACACCCCCCCACCCCCCACACACCCCATCCCCCCACACCCCACATCCCCCACACACCCTGCATCCCCCGCACACCCTGCAGCCCCCCCGCATCCCTCCGCACACCCCGCAGCCCCCGCACACCCCACATCCCCCCCACACCTCGCATCCCCCGCACACCCCGCAGCCCCCCCACACCCCCACATCCCTCCGCACACCCCGCAGCCCTCCATACACCCCACATCCCCCCGCACACCCCGCAGCCCCCACACACCCCGCAGCCCCCCACACACCCCCCAGCCCTCCACACGGCGAGGCAGCAAAGAACGGCAAGGCATTTATCGCCGCCTGCAGCCGAACGGGAGAGGTGTCTTCCCAGAGGGAAACGTTACTCTCCACATTAACATTTTACTGGGGCCACAGCTGAAGAGACCGAGGCTCAGAGCGCTGTTCGTACCCTCACGTGCCTGAGTGAGGCTCCAGGCTGGAAAGGACACAAACCCTGCCTCGGATCTCACGCCAGAAACGCGAGAGAAGTCTCACCTCTTCTCCAAAATTGATGATATCAACGTTGACTTTCTCTTTCTTCAGACGCTTTGCCAGCTTCACCAGCTGCAGCAGGAAGACACAGCGGCATTAGCTTGGCTTTCAGCTCTTACCCCAGCTCAGCCCATCAGGGACCAAACAGCGCTTCGCATTCAGTCCCGGAAGCACAAAGCCCACTGTCAGCTTCCCAGTTTCCAGCCCTCGCAGCAGGAAAGCGTTTGAGGCGTTTCAACTCTCTGGATCTGTCCTTGGCTCAGGCCTGGCTGTGCCCAGGGACCCGGCATCCCCTCTCCCTCCCCTCCACGCTGAGGACCGCTCTGCTCAAGCAGCTCTGTCAAGCAGCCTCCTCGCTGGGGTGCAAAGCCTTACTTTCCACACAGAGCAGAGAACAAACAATAAACCCGATTTCTAGTTCAAAGTAGAGCTCAGAGCTGACCCAACCTTTTTTTCCTTTGGCCATTACTCACGTCTTTCTCGTTATCTTCTACAGGGCTCCCAACGAAGGCGATGATTCGCATCTTGTGGTTCTTGCCTTGGCGATGCTTCAAAGCCAGCTGCAAGAGAGAACTCACACTGTATTTAAGAAGCGATTCTCAGGAAAAAGGGGTGACCAGCTGGCACCCCAATACACAGGAAAATTCACGCTAAATGTCAGGAGAGACTTTTCAGTAGCAAGTTTCACCAGACTGCCTACAAGCAGGCAAGTCCAAGGGCCTCCCCTTCGCTGGCAGTTAGGACTCGGCTGGGAGCAGCTTGTTGGCAGAGAGACAGTCTGGCACAGAGCAGAAAAACAGGACAAAAGGGTGGCCACATCCTGGGGACACTCCTGGGCTGGGGGCTGCTCTCCTCAGGGTGGGAAGGGCTGTGCAGCTCAGGGGGACTTCTGCAAAGCAGCTGGCAGGTTCCTCCGAAGCAAACCAGGACCACACTGTTACACTTCTGAGCTTTTGTATCAGATTTTATAAAGGAGGTGTCATCTGCATTTTGCAGATAGGGAAACTGAGGCAAAACCAAAATGATTTGCTCAGTATTGTTCAGCTGCAGAGGCACAGAGAGAACAAGATTTCCAGCCTCTGAGCCATCAACAGGACACGTAATTTAAGAGGCACACTAAGGCAAAAGGAATTCCAGAGAAAGGCGCAGACTCACTTGTGAGGAACCAACAAGACCACTTACGTGAGCAACTCTGATCCCTGTGCAAAAGGTAATTTTCCCTTTGGGTTGCACCGTGTGCAGCTTTGAAAGGATCCGGCCCGTGTCTGGAGTGAGCGTGGTCAACACTTCACAGTTACTGCAACACAAAGACACTTACGCTAGCGACCCCTTCTTTGCGAAACCCTTTATTTGCTACGGGGGCAAGAAAAGCCCTCCCTGCACTAAGCCTGCAGCTGGTGTCTGCCCCGAGAGTCTGCCAGCACTTGGCTCTGGTGGGTCCTTGCGTACAGAGAGCAGGACTTTCAGCCTGGTTTCCTACAAAAACCCAAAGTAACCTGTCTGCGTGAAAGCTTGTGTGCATCTGTCCCCTGCGCCAGCAACCTTGAGCCCGCTGGCCAGTTGTAATCAACTGGCTAAGAGGGAGCTCTCAGAGGCACTGAAGTCCTACAGACCAGGACAACAGAGGAACCACCCTCCTGGGGCTGCCCGTGAGCTACCGTGACAGCTCAGCCCACATTTGCCACCCTGTGGGACACGAGGCCACAAAAGGATGGGTCTGGCAAAGAGAGAAAAGCCTCCATAACATATCCTGGCATTGCAGGAGACCGGTCAGGAACCAAGTTTTCTCATACCAGTCCTCCCGGAAGAACTGGTTTGGTTTTAGACTGTGCTACTGCCCCCGTTTTGCAACACTCCCCTCGTTCCTTGCCCCCGCGCTCTCCCATGTGTCCCCCCCGGCCGCTCCCCAGCATCACCCTGGGGCCAGTTCCCCCATGGGCCGTACTTGGCTAAGGTGATGAGCCCCACGTTGTTCTCGGGGTTACTGCGGGTTTTCGAGTGGCACACGATGTTGACAGCATCTTGCTGGGCTTGCAGGCGAGTGGGTAAGAAGTCTCCATTCCTCATGTACTCGCTGTTGTCAACGCTGAAACACAGAGAGGGGGGTGTCAGCTTGTGAAACAGCTGAGGTTTATCCCCAAAATGTGCTTTTTGGGACAGCACACCTAAGGTCACACAGCTGGGACATGCAGCAGGACATGGACATTTCCCAGGGTAGAGAGACGAGTCGTCTCTGCATTTCCCTGAGTTTCCAGATCAGATCTGACCTTCGGGTCACAGCTCACAAGCTCCGGCTCCTCGCTGAAGAGCGCGAGACGTGACTGCAGCCAGACACAACCTCAGACCCATGTCTCCTCAACACCTTCTCCATCTCCACAGAAAAAAGGAAAAACCCAAGAGACACCACTTCATGGTAAGTACAAATCCCCGCACTCATCACCGCCGCGGGGTTTTCATCAGGCCCAAAGCAGCTTTCCCACGGCGGGGCCAGCGGGCGCCTTCCGCACCGGGCTCCGCTCCGCCGGCGCGCTGCCCTCCTCGAAGCGACGCGGCAGGAGGGGAACCCCTGAGCCCTGCATTACCCCCCACACCCACGGGGGGTGTCGGGGCCTCCCCAAACCGCCAGCACACAGGCAACAGTGCCCCGCAGCGTCTGGCGGCAGCAGCCACATCACAACATCGCTGTAACCAAATCCCTACCCTGCACTCTGTCAGCTATTAAATATAGTACGGAGCAGGCAGAAAAAGCCTTTTTCTTACACCAGCCTTTGGGAAAGTGACCCCAGGAAGGGAGCTCGAGCTTGAGAGTTTATTTTGGCCCCAAATTAAGACTTCCCTTGGGAGTACTCCCAGCATTTCTTAGTCTTAACACCAGAGGAAAGGTTTCTCCTGAAAAAATGCCACCTGTGACCGCTTCCCTGACCATGCTCAGGCTGGGCCACCTCTCCTCCAGCCCACCAAACACCCCGTCGCAAGCTGGGGAGCGAGGAGCCGGCAGCAGCCAAACTTCACCTCAGGCACAAGGACACAAAGCGTCCTGGCCGAGGCCATCCACACTGCAGCTTTCCTGTTCCCGGACTAATAGTGAATTCCTCCTGCTTTCCAGGGCAACACAAGGAGCAGCGACGTGTTTTAATGCCCTTAAACATGAGAAAGCAAAGAGTTACCCAGGGAAAACACTAAGGACTTCAATATACGGTCAGCGAGTCAGGCTATGGTAATATCTTTATCCAAAGAGCTGTGGGACCACATTGAGAGCCAAGGAAACAACAGAACCTGCACAGATCTCACTGGTTTTCCCTCTTGTGGCCTTCTTAAACACCGTAACTGAAAAACAACAGGGCTGTAGCTGCTGCGACAATAATGACACATCAAAGTTCGCCCTCCCCTTCCCGTTCCGGCTGCGTTCAGCACCCAGGAACAAAAACCCTTGTACCTCAGCGCCGATGCTGAGCAGCAAGAGCAGAGAGAACGGCTGCCCCGGGCAGGGCCCCGAGCCCGGGCGGACCCTCCCTCCTCGGGCCGCAGGGACACCCGCCCAGCGCTGCGGGGGGGCTGCGCCCGATTCTCCTCCGCGGGGACGTGGCCCCGCTTCGTTGTGGCAGCATCAGCCCAGAGGCCCGTCCCCTTCACCGGGGTCCCCTCTGGCCACCAAGTGCCCCCCCCCGCCCCGCTTCATCCAACCTCGAGCACCCCAACCCTTCCCACGCACCCGGACCCCACCCCAATTTACACCCACCCTCCCGGCGCGCCCTGCCCTCTCCCCCCACCCCAATCCTCTCCCCCCCGCCCCCAGGCCCCGCCGCCGCCCGGGATGACTCAGGGAAAGCGGCGGCGGCCGCTCCCGGGGCCCGGCCCGGCCGGCCGCTCACCACACCATGGTGCTCTCCAGAACCATCTTGCCTCCTTCTCCCCCTCAAGACCGGCCCGGATTCCGACTAAACAAAGCACCCGCCGATTGGCTCAAGGCACCGGCCAATCGCAGCTTCCCGTCTTGCGAGGTCCGTCGCGGCGGGCGCTGGGCATGCTGGGAGTTGTAGTCCTGGGAGCCTCCCCCACAGCAGAGAGACGACCGTCCCCTCCCTCCACGGGGCAGAAACGGGGTTCCGCTCGGCCCGTGACCCACGGACGCCCCACGGGGGTCCGTCCCTCCCCCCCCCGTGTCCCCCCCGGACAGAAGAGGCAGGCGGGCAGTGGGTTCAGCAGCACACTGTGTATTGCGCGTCCAAGAGACAGCGTGGTTCCAACAGCGGACGAGGCCACAAGCGTTACACAGCCGGGAGGACAACGGTCACGCACGGCACGAGCTGCTCCCCGGGGGACACACGGACACGGGTCTGTCCCTGCCGGGGGGTGACGATGGCGACGCTGACGCCGAGCAGGAGAGGAGGGGTCCGCCCGCACCCTGTCCCGTCACCCGGCCTCGACGGCAGCGGCTGCTCCCCGGTGCGGCCGGAGAAGCCGCGTCCCCTCCCCGCGCTGGAGGAAAAACCGCCCGGGTGTTTTTAAAAAGACATGAAAACCCCGGCGCTTTGAAACACGCACACGCAGAAAAAGAAGCAGTTCTGAAAACCCATTACAAAGCAGAGGTCAATATAGAAACGTCACCCCCCACCTCCCTACTCACTGAATAACTATCCCCAGGAAAAAAAAAAAAAACAGAAACAAAAAAAACAACACTTAAATACAACTTCATAAATATTAAATCATGAAAAAAAAGAAGACTTGGTTTTCTTCCCTCCTGATTAAAAAAAAACCAAAACAAAAAAAAAAAAAACACAAATATGGGTTAGGAGGGAAGGTAAGAAACAAGTGTCTAATATAGACAGTTACTTCAGCTATAAAGTGTAAGCTGCTGGATCGGGTCAGAGGTACGGGGGAGGGAGACGGGAAGGTCCAGCAGAGACGGCGCGGGCGTCCCCGAGCCGATCTTCCTCCCGCTCACGGGTCTCGTCGTGACGGTCATCGGTGGCGAAAGGTTTGAGAGCCCTTGAGAACCAAACAGTTTGTGAACAGCGACTGTCCTCGCGCTCCACCAACCCCCCTGGGGATCCGGATACCCGGAGTAAGGCCATTCTGCTTGGTCTTTCAGAAAAAAAAAAAAAAAAAAAAATTAAAAAAAAAATATGCTTTTTCTTAAAAAAAATCAGCTTGCGTTGCATCCACTTGAAAAGGTTGAAGTGGAAGGTGGGAAGAGAATTGGCTCTGAAACATCAACTAAAAAAAATCCCTTTCTACACCACTACATTCTTCTTTTCCTTAGCAATCATTGCTAATTAGTATAGAAACCCCTTGCACTACCACAAGGGCAAGCTTTAAATTACTTTTTTTTTATATATATAAAAAAATGGAGGATTCTGACCCATCAGGAACACGGGGAAGAGTCACTTCATTTCTTTAAAAAAAGCATTTCGTGAAAATAAAGATCAGTCCAACATCTGCTCTGAGATCTCTAGAGAAGCGTCTGCAGCCGGCGTGGGCCAGGCGTCACCGCGGGAGAATGGCAGCAGAACAATCCCTCCTTTCAGCTTATTATTTTGTTTAAAACCGGACTGAAAACACCCCGTACTTTTGTGGAGGCAGAAGTCTGTCCCATTTCGTAGGGATCTTGGTTTCAAGCCGCTGGGAGCACCGGTGTCGACTGCGGCTACGATACAGGTGAGATATCAAAAGGGAGCCGAGCTATAAAAACGGGAAGGGTTTTGCACATGCCCGCAGCAGGATGGAGGGCAGGGGAAGGGACCGGAGCAGGCTGGGTTTGGTCCGTTTGCTTAAGAAATACTTTTAAAAAAGTGTGCCCCTTACAAAGATCTCCCTTCACCTGCGGCTCCCTGCTTGGCGGGGAAGGGACGAAAGGGCTTCGTTTAAAAACCAGGGGGCAAAGCAATCCAAAACTTCCCCGACGTCTTAAAAGCTTCGCACATTCAAAGTCCTCTGAGCAACACAGCGCAGCTACCAGCTCTGCTCCTCGCTGTCTCGGGGCGATGCCAGGTTGGAAAGGGAGGCGGCTGCGGCAGCCCGGAGCAGCTGGTGGGGGAGAGGAGCTCGTCCACAGTCAGTGCAGCTCCTGCTCCCCCTTTCTGCCTCTCTCACATGGGGTACTTTCTGGTGAAACACTGAAAAAAAAAACCTATTTATTAAAAAAAAAAATTACTACATTGCAGGACTAAAAATAAGTGATATGACTGAATCCAGAGAAACATTTAAATTAAAAACTTGTTAAAAATACAAAATAAACCCACATTGCTCTGTCGCAAACTGCCCCAACGAGGCTCTAACGCCCGTTTCCCCCCAGTAACTCCGAAGAGTCGCCCATTCTCGCAAGGTCTGTGGTGTCGGCACCGTAAGCAGCTCACTCCCTGAAAGTCAGATCCCTTTTCCAGAGGGCTCCAGCCCACACGGAGCAGTTGTTCCTCCTCCTCCTCCTCCTCCCGACGCCGGCTTTGCTGCTGCCAGGCTCTGAAGGGAGGAGGCTGGCAGGGACACGGTGGTGGGCTCTGCTGTAAGGAGACTTCCAGGTGTCCGAGGCTCAGCTGTGCTGGCTCGGCCTTTGTTAATAGTATCCCACTAAGTGTAGCCCAGCCTTCCAGCTTTTAGGTTTCTGTCCAGATAAGGTTACTTTAACAAAAAAAAAAAAAAAAAAAAAAAAAAAGAAAAAGAAAATCAGCAACAGGGGCTGAACGTTTGTCAGACTCCACAGACCACGCAGAGCACAGAACAATCTGCTTCCTTCGCGGCAGTTTTGGTGTTGCTTCACTGTGAAGAGAAAAGAGAGGGAGATGCTGGAGAGGGGTCTGCCTTCCTCTGAGGAAGAGCAGCAGGAGGTCTCCTGCCTCGTCTCCCCCTAAACCTTCTCCACCCCGGGAGAGGCAGAGTGGAGGGGGCTGCTGAGTTCAGGCTTACACCCCCAACCACCATCTTACATTAAACCAGGAGGGTCTGGGAGGATTCAACATCCGCCCCAGGGATGAGGCTGGTCAGCTTCATCCTGGTTTGTCTCTGCCATCAGACCCCCTCTGGGCCCCCAGGAGAGAGGAATGTCTCTGCTTTGCCTCCCACTTATCTCATGTAAGGCGGTTGGGGCAGCAGATTATCGCTCAGGGCAGGAACGGTGCCTAGCACAAGGCAGGCTGAGCTTTCGCATACCGGGGGGGGATGAAGAACATCTGCTCCTGCTCTGGCCGACTCGCACACCCCGCTCAGTGCCCACGTTCCCAGCACAACCAGGGACCACATAACCCCGCGATTCTCCACCCACCTTCCGAGCTCTCTTTCCCTCCTAACCAGGGAAGTACTCACAAAGCTTATCTCCGTCTCTTGCAGGTCTTCGAGCTGCTCTCTCAGCTCTGCGGAGCGCTCAGGTATGGAAGGCCCTGGGGAGCCGCTGGGGAAACAGAAGGGGAAGACCTGTAAAGCAGTTTTTAAAAGTGAGTGGTCACTCAGTCCCATCTCCGGGGCTGCCCTGCTGCCCAGCCGAGGGAACGCCCCAGCACGGCGTTTGTTAGGCAGGTTTCATACGGAGGTACAGGCAACACGATCCCTGCCGGGGCAGGCACCCAAAACACCACCTAAATCCTCCCCCTAGTCTGACGTGACTTCAGACATTAGAAATGAGGATCTTTTGTCCAGCCAAGCAGCAGCACCTCTTTACAGAAGTCTTCAAGCACCTCATCAACATAGAAATGGTCCTTGGGTGAAAACGGTCTGGGGACAAAGAAGCCACAAGCACAGGAGCTCAGCGAGCGTCAGCCTTTTCAGACAGAGGCACCCTTGTTTGAAAAAGCCCCTGGCAAACATTTTACAAACCTTTTATGCCCTGAACTCGAGCTGTAGCCTGACGGCAGGATATAAAACATGGGCATGCTGAGCACCTGATAGGATCCATCGCCAAGGAGGAAACGTGGGGCACAGAACAAGTCTTGCTTTGGTTATTTCCCCACTTCTTTCCCCATTCTACAGCTAAAAGGCTGGAACCTGCCGGCTGAGGAACCCCAATTCCCAGCTTGGGCCTGTGCCCCGCGTTCTGCCGAGGATATGGTGACCACAGCTTCTCTCCTTAGCCCTCGAGGGAGAAGTCGAGTCCGAGCGCGTGCACTTCACCTCGGCCAAGCGCTCCGGGCTCTCTGGTGCCTGGCGACTCGCAGAGGGGGTTTCGACTGCCTACGGACGGCACGACCCGCTCGGCCCTCCCGCACCTAACACCCAGGGCTTGCCACAGCCTGCCCACAGCGGTTGCCTTAATTACTGGGGATGGGATCGCCCGCTGCTAGAGCGCAGGAGGCGTCGGGCTGCTCAGTCAGCGGGCTGCACGTCACCCCGCGCAAACGCCCTTGGATGAACACCCGAACGGAGACGCGGGGATCCTGGCCCAGCTCCCTCTCTGCCTGCTCACGCCTCACCTATGTGCCCGGTTACTCTGAGCTGCTCTGGCTTCCTCCCCCGCCGAGCTCTCTAACCGGCGACTCGCTGCTTTTGACCTACGCGGAAACTGAAGACGAGGATGCTCAGCGTTGGTTACAGCGCGTGTAGCCCCTCAGGTTTGTCTTAATTAGCACTAAGCAGCGCTGCCCTAACACAAGGCTGCAGGATGAATCATAGACTCATTCAGGTTGGAAAAGACCCTTAAAGATTGAGACCCGCCATTAACCTAACACTACCAAGTCCACTGCTAAACTACAGTGCTTAAGAGAAAAAAAAAAAGTGTCCCCCTCAAACGGAGGGGACCACCCTCTGGAAGCCCTTGCCGCAGGACACCGGTCAGTAGCTCCCATTCCCAGCGGCACATGCCGATGGCTAAGCGTCCCCAGCGCCAGCACGCTTCTGTCAGGGGTTAAGGACAGAGGTTAAGGGCTGAGGAGCAGGGGAATCCCAGCCTTGCGGGCACCCGCGCCTGCACGGTATCGCTTACGCCACCGTGGAGAGCACGTCTTCCACACACAGGCTGCATACCGCACACAGAGGCATGGGGCAACATTTCTGAGGCAGGCGCGAGGCCGTGCTGCAAAAGAGAGACTGAGGTTGTCGTAGCACGGACGAGAGGGCTGAGCTCCTCCCCAGGGCAGATCTGGAACGGGCCAGATCCTGCCTCCCCCCTGCGCCCACCCCCTAGAAGGGCAGAAGCTCTTGGGTGAGATCACTCCCCTTTGTACAGGACTACAGAGATCTAAGAGGTTACCTCCCCAAAGGGTGGTAAACACCCCGCTAGACTGGCTGATTCTGTAGAGAGGGGAAGAAAAAAAAGTAAACAAAAAAAAAAAGGCACACACCACCTTTTAAAATCCCTTCAACAAGTTACATCATTGCAAATCAACAATCCACAAATCGCTTCCGTCCTTTATCAGGGTTTGCAGAGCTTTAGGGATCTCCCAAGGTCACAAAAGTGGATTTAAGCCTCTGACAACAGGTCTGATGGAGGGAGCTCAGATCCCAAGGCCCCACACGCAGGAGAAAGCCCTGGCAGGTTCTCCCTCCTGGATTTCATTACCACTGTCTGGCAGCGGCACGTGGTTTTACGGGACGTTGGCAAAGGGCAACCACACGCTGGAGCGCCCGCAGGGTACGGTAAGCGGCATGCTCCGCTCCAGAGGTACCTGGAGCAAACACAGACCAGGCCTTGCATGTGGGGACCCACTCAGGACTCTACCCAGCGGGGCAGCAGGTTTGATCCGACCTACCAGAACCCGTGTTTTTACCCAGAAGGGTGCTCAGTGCCAGGCGGGGTACGGAGGGCCCCATCCTGAGAGGTTTTACCACTGAGCCTTCCAGCAGACACAGGCGTTAAGGACTGCTGAGCCTTGGCACAGGGACACACTGCGTTACAGCACTGCATTTTAGGAGCGAGCTGACTGTACAGAAGCTCTGTAACCGCTGGCCAGCAACGCGTGTGCGGCCAAATCCCAGCACAATTCTCGGTGAGCACACCCTCCAGACAGGAGAAGGCTGCAGGCAAAGTCTGGTTCCTCCCCTCACCTAGACAGGAAGATGCCGGGAGCTGTTCTAGTCAAATCCTTTGCTGAGCTGTCAGCTTTATGCACTTGTACGCCCACTGACCTACGCAGAGATTGAAGGAGAGAGACCCACAGTTAACTAAAAAGAACACCTCAGGCATGCCGACGTGCTGGAAAGGAGCAGCTCTGGTTTGGGATCCCTACCAAGACGTCTCCGTGTTTTACAGAGGGAGTAAGAGGTGTTGATTACAATTGCATCTTGTTCTTCTGCAGCTCAGGAGAGAGCAGGCACTTACCCCGGTGCCACTGTGTGTGCAGTGGGTCAGGAACGGGGAAGATGGCTTCCCATCGCTTCCAGAAGAGAAGTTAACACCTCGGGACAATTTCTACAAAAGGGATCGTCCTCTGACCACAGCTCCTCCTCGTCCCTGCTAGTCTTACCACTTCAGCAAGAAACGAAACATTCAAAGGCAGCCACCAGCTCCCTCGGGCTCTCCATGCATTTCAGGTTCCGAGCCATTCTGACCTGCACACCTCCTGCAGCCTCCTTTCCCGAGGAGTCGTAGGAGCTCAATGCTAACCCAGTCGGTAAGTTGCAAGAGCGCCCGACCCTCAGGAAAGAGCCGCAGGAAGGTCGCCTTCAGCATCACCCGTCGTCACATTAATGCTCTTCACGTACATTTTAGCAGTGACACTTTCACCAACCCACTTTAATAAGCACAGTTACCTTGACTCCAGAACAAAGCCATTAAATACAGAACACACGAGGAACCAAAAGCCACCGGGAGCCCGGCACAGCCCAAGCAGAAGATCACGTCGTCTGTAAGGGACTGCACGCAGGAACGGCGACACGATGCTCCCCCCTTTGCACATGCTTGAACCGACAGCACCAAACTCGCTCCACAACACACGGACCCCCTCAAACGGGTATTTCTGCGAGCATGCCAACACCAAAACCGCCCATAAAGCAGCACAAAGTCCTCCCAGGGCTCACGAACTGCACTTGCGGGAGGCGCTGGCCTGCCGTGCGCCGCAGCAGCACGAGCCTTACCTATTTGCGGGCGAGTTGAGGCCGCCGCTGCCCAAGGAGGAAGTGGAGAGGGTTGTTGCGATGGAATCGCTGTTAGCTTCATCTACCGGCAGGGTCCTGGGCAGCAGATCTGGGCGACCAAGGTGGGAACCTGAGTTGAAGCACAGACTGTTCCATCACCAGCACAAGTGGGACCGCGTGGCACGAGCTCCCACACTAGCCAGGGGCCAGGATCCGTGCTGGATCCCACCCGAGACGTCTTAAGGCACCCCGGGCACTGAGCAACCAGCCCCACAGGCAGGCTCCATTAGGCCAAGCCTCCACAGGACTGCCCAGACCAGCTTCTCCCCTGGCACGAACCCCACGGGCACGAGCTGTTGGGAAAGAGATCGGGCGCATGGGACAGCCACGCAGCCTCAGCCCACTTCCCAGGGGGGGAGGGCCATGGGTGCTTGGACGAGGCTGAAAAATCCCATGAAGAAACAATTCCCCACCTCCCCAACCTGGTTTTTATCCTGCTTGTGATTAAAGACTGGCTTTTACTGAAACACAAGGTTTATCATCCTGCCCTGCATTTGTTTCAATGGAACGCTTGGAAACAGCCAAGCGTTTGAAGGGCTCGCTGCTCCTCCAGATTTTCTCATGGTGCTGCTGTCAAAGGCCATTTGGTGGTTTTGGCCCCATCTGGCTTCTATGCCCACAACCCCAGAGAACAGGCCCTCCCCTGGCAAGGCCACAAAACAAGGTGGAGGTGTGTTACACAGCTCAAGAGGCAGTCAAGCTTCAATTAGACAAATACAAGCTGAAAAAAAAAAAACCAAAACTTTTCTAGGCTTCTTTTTTAGCCCAGACACCAACCTTGCTCTACATCCACCTCTGTCGTTACTTGTGCTTTTGTCTCGCACGACATGTGCGACTGGGAAGGCACTCCTCCCTGACAGCTCCGCCGAGGGACTGTTGTGCCAGACCGGCTCTTCTTCGAAGGGGATGGCTTTACTTAAAGACAAAAACCAAGACAGCACTTTTGTAAACACATTCAGGAAGGAGTAAAAGACCCGACGCAGCAATTTTCCAGTGACAGAGTCTGGTGCAAGGGCTGCGCCCTGAAGGAACAAGCTGATGGATGAAACAGCTCCTATAAGGTCACATCTGTGAGGCAAGAACAATCTAGGCGGAAGGAAGAGGTGACACAGCACAACAGACTTCCTAAAACTCTTGCACGCTTTTGTCCACCTTCCCAAACCACAGCTGCTGAGCAGGGAGCAGCCAGAAACCACGGCAATTGCCAAGGCGAGAGCTGCACGGAGGTACTTACACGGTATTTTCTTGAACGCTGTGTTGCACATGAACCGTTGGAACCTTTCGGCGTAGAAGCTGGGTCTGTGCACAGATACGGTGTCCTAGAAGTCCAAGGGACAAACATTAACGCGTGAATCTGAATTAATGAGTGCTCAAGGTTAACAGGAGCTTCTCAGGCTGCTCGCCTTGCAGCAGGCACTGTGTTGGACTAAGAAGAGCCAGGGAGTCTGAGTCACTCTCACTAGCAGCTGCGAGAAGCTGATTAGCCACCAGCATTATATCCAAAAGCAATCAACACTTGTCAGTGAGCAAGTAGATGACCAGCGTTAACAAAACCAACGTTTTTGAGAGTACCTAGGAAATAATACTTCTACCTAAGCGGGCAAACACACATGCCTTAGGAATCCAGGATCTGTGCCCAGAAGGAGCAAGGACAATGGGCACAGTTCAAAAAGACACTGCTATTACTGCTAAACAAGTCAAAAAGTGGTGGTTTCCTACTTACCCCATCGTGTACAAGGGCCTTCCAAGAGTGCTCCAGCTTCTTGACAAACCTGACAGAGAGAAGAATTAAGAACAATTTCCACACCAAGTCCCCACTGTCCGTATCTTATCATGCTCGCTCAGTACTGAGCCTGGCTTGGGGCAAGCACACCCCAAACACGGGCTGCTTTGGCTTTGGATTCTCTTCATTGTCCCATTTTTCTAAGACTGTTCCACAGGCACCAGGGCTGGTTACACAGTTCGCCCTCCCAAGGGGAGAGTTTCACCAGCATAACTATCAGGGTCAGTTAACTTGCAATGACATTTAACAGAGACTTTACGTATGTAACCCTCTGCACGTTGAATTTTAATATAAATAGAAGAAGAGGTAAGCCTTACAGCTATTATGTATTTTATAAGGAGAAGTGGTTATGGCCATTTTAAGCCACCACTTGTTTTTTCCTTGCCACTTCCTGCACAGTGCCTGTGTACAACCACAGCATACAAAAACACCTTCATAAATCTGTTCCGGGAAGATGAAGTGAATACAGTAAGCAACACCCAGAAATCGATCACCACATGCCTGACTTCAAGAATACAGAAAGTGATAAATTTAAAAAATTTTATGTGTGTCTTAACTATTTCTTGAAAGCCAATCCTGACAACCAAAGAGGGTCAGACAATGCTGTGGTCTTCACCTTTAGGTGATACACACAGCTGCTCTTCAGCATTTACCTGTAGGACTGCAACACGTCGATGATGCCGATGTACAGCAGCAGCCTCTCCCCCTTCGCGTTGCGGGCTGGAATGCCCCCCATCCTAGAAGAGGAGAGGGCACAGACATGAACCAGGGTGCTCTCACACCTCACTGCCTCTCTCACGCAGCCTAGCGTGGGCTGACTATTATGAGAACTATTTAACAAGCACCACCATGCGGGAGGCACCTACTCTTCAGCTAACGAATTGGGGAAGAGAAGTCAGAGCAAAACGCTCTTCCAGTAAATCGGCGAAACCGCCGGAGAACTGACCCCCTTCTCCCTCTGGATGCCAGTTTTATGGAAGATGAGGATTAACCCCAACTCACGCATGAGAAGACACAAGGAACTACAAAGACCATCTGCTACCATCCACACTAAGATGGCAGCTGGACTTTACGGGCTGTTAATCTGACCTAACAAAGCACTCGCTGTGCCTCTTAGAGGTGGATGCAAGCAACTGGTTGAAGCTGCCAATAACTGGTGGGCAGAGAACTTCCAAATGTCACCTGGAAGGTGAGAAAATCTTTCATAAATGAGAGGAAGGTAACTCAAAGAAAATGCACAATATTTGATAGCAAGACGTCTCTGCCCAGCATGACAGCAATCCTCTATAGCCCAATCTGCGCCTAAATTAAGTCTCCATTAACCAGCCTTGGGTTTTACCCCCCTCCTCAGTATTTCACTGGGAAGGGCAATGCCAACAGACTTACTGGTCATCTGTTTCTATGGTGCCACCTCGCCGGGCCTCTCCCTGGATGGATTCCATGGCTGTCGAGTAGAGAGCCTTCTGGGCAGCGGGTCGCCGCGTGTCCGCCTGGGACGTCCCATCTGCCATCGCGTGCTCTCTCTGTGCCAGATCGATGTTATGGATCGCAACAAGCAAACTGTAATCCATGATCTTAAAGCTCTGCAGGACCTGGGCAGAAAGTCAACAAAGGCTAACTCATTACTGCAAACCCAGAGAAACTGTCAGAGCAGACATTTGCAGAAGCGTAGTCAGCATTTCTCCCTAGAGCCCCGAGCGCACCGCGGGGATGGCTTTTAATCCACGCTCGTGCAGAGTCAGCTCATCTACAGTCGCCAAAGGGAGTCAGAGGAAAGCCATCAGTGGTAGTCCTGGCCAGGCAGGGACCCAAACCAGGAGAGAACACTGACTCTTGCATGGCTGCCCAACTTGAGCCCAGACTCAAACATCCCACCCCTCTCCCCGATCCTGCCCTGCTCCAGAGCTCAACCTTGGCAGAGGGCGAGTCCTCCACCTCTGGAGGCAGTGCTGGGTTTAATTCAGGTTGGAAGGATGAACAGCACTGGGGTCCAGATCCTGCTTCTTGTCCGCACCACCACCAAAAAAAAGGGTTCTCTATGTCAACAGGCAGAAGCCGCAAGGGCAGCAGCTGCCTTCTCCTTTCCGTGGGAAAGGCTCAGAAAAAAGGAAAGAACTCTCCACACCGCCCTTCACCACTTCCACTTACCAAACAGTCTCTTTGTAACGTTTTGCACAGGGCATTATACATGTCAGAGTCTAAGAAGAGGCCATCTGGGATGTCCTGCATAAAATCCAAGTCCTTGTATGTTGGGAAGACCTTCTCTCGCTCCTTCTGGGATGCTCGGCGTTTGTAGGTGGAGCCCTTCAGGTCGTATTTCAGGTGCATTTTGACAGAGCGTGGCAACAGATTGTTCATCACAACGATGCGAATGTTCTTGCCTCCGGCCTGGACACAGTACAAGCCGTAAAACTTTGGCAGCAGCGTCCTTGGGTTCTGGTTCAAATTCTGAAATGCAAAAGACAAAAGAAATACCTTCAAAGCCATTCTGGTTATTCACGTGCCAGTTAGAGAAGTTATTTGCTCCTTCCTGTGCCTCCATATTGAGATGGAGCTGGCAGTGATTCAAAGCCACTGCCAAAGCAGCTAAAAGACAAGGGCAGGTGAACCCAGGGAACAGCCTACAGTTGTTGGTAACCTCTCTGCAAAGCTGAATGGGTCAGAAAAGATCGTAGAAAGGAAGGAGTTTGCTGCCCATTCACACAGAAGCTAAGCTGGGGAGCCTGCAGAGCAAAGACCTTGTCCTTAGCCTTCTTAAATATGGTGCTTAGGTCAAGCTCAATACATCAGGATAGAGGTGATCTAAACTCATGCAGCTGCAGAAGACACTAGACAGAATTTTGAAGAAAACCAACGTGGTCCTGGGATATAACTGTAGCAAAAACCTGTGCAGGTTCAGAAGCAGTTTAAGGAATTCAGCTAGCGACCCCAAAAGCAACAAAAGTCCTAAGGCACTTCTATATGGCAAGACTACCTCATGGCTAAATTCCCTTTCACAGAGGTGGCTTGTAAAGGCCAGGCTGGACATGAACACGAGCAGCCAGATCACACACACATCATGTTCGGGGTGGGATCTGATATTGCTCCGCAACCGATAAAGCCTTTTGTGCTACAGCCACTTTCATAAAATGAATACGCCTTCACTCTCAGAGCTGCTGCTCTTTCTACACAGAGAAACTTAAAAGCAGAGTTCTTCAACTCTTCATCTTCGCAGACAGAACCAAGCACAGCCCTGGGAAGGGAAACACAAGAACAGCTCTGCAAGATGAAGTACCACAGGCCTGACACTGCGCAGCAGAGAAGCAACGAACAGTTCACAGCTGGTCACGAAGCAGCCTGCAACCTTCCAAAAGGGTCCGAGTCACAAAGTGCCACCCAAGACCCCTGCGCAGCACGCCAGGCTCGTGGTACCCAGGTACCTGGTGTTCCAGTGACTCTCTTTGTCACTAGACAGTTGAGAGAAGCTGCCACCCATCTGGGGCACAGATCAAACCTCCACTCACATCTGCCAGGCAGTACACAGCAGCATTGGTCACGCTCGTACATTTGGGGGACCCTTCCCTAGCCTGCAGAGAAAGCCTCACCCAAGCAACTCACCATGTAGTAGCCAGGCAGCAGCTTCTGCAGGAACTCAGCCTCTTTGTGCTGAACCGTTTTGATGATAAACTCATCATCACTGGATACGTAGAAGAGGGATCCGCTGGCCCCGGAGTTTGAAAGTTCAATGAGTGGCTCATTGCAGAGCGAGTACTGAGGAGGACAACGTGAGAAACAGAGGTGAGAGACACGTCAACAGGAAACAGCACTAAGGCTCTTCCTTTTAAACTTAACAGAGACAAACCCCGGGGTCACACACAGCACCCACTGCTGCGCTTACAGAGCTTGCCACGGGGCCTCACAGCACTCCACAGCTCCGAGAGGGGGAAGCGGACAAACAGCCATCACACAGAGCACCCAACAAGTGGGAACCTGGCCCAACCACCAACTTACCAGATAGTCATCTGGTCGGATCCCAAAGAGCTCCCGGAAATAGCGAAAGGCCACTGGAGCATAGGTTTTGAACCGAAAGTCATTGTAGTGATGAGCTGGGGTCAGGTTGCTCCCTTCACTGATCAGGGGGAGAAGCACACACGAGTATTCGTATTTGAAACATTTCTTAAGAAACTGCCCTAAGAGCAAACACCCGCTGGCTGGCTGCTTCTAACACACTCGAGGGCTAGAGAGCACCCACCCAGAAGGGACACCCGGAGGCACCCACAACAGCAACCCGTGTTTTTTCACACGGCTGATGGTGCACACGTACAGGGGAGGGCCAGGTTCTTCAGCAACAGGCCACGGGCAGGAGCCAGAGTTGGTCTGAGCAGTGCGCTGCCTGCACTCGCTCCTGCGCTCAACCATCCTGGTTTGGTGCAGCTTCCTCCCACACAGGGGTTAGGAACTACTGCTGCTACTCACTATCAAAGCACCAGAGAGGAGAGAGCAAGCACCGACCTGGGGAAGAAAATACTTTCTACTACGTAGAAATCTTGCATGAGAACATCTCTTTCGGGTTTGGTGCTCAAGCTTCCAACTGTGTGTGTAATGCCCAGCTGAATGGCACCTTTCAAGGCAGATGATGTCGTCTGGAGGGGCAGAGAAAAGGAGTTAGACAACAGGAAATAGGAATGAAAGAAGTTAAAGGGCGCCCTCAGTTTAAATCAGCACCGTTAGCCGGGGCAGTCTACATCCACTGGTTCCAGCCTCCATTTTTCTCAGACTGCCATCACCTTGGCAATGGGAACCCCTGGGAACAGCCCAACATCTCTGACAGCACCCTAACTCACTGTTTGCACTCTGGCTGGTTGAGCAGTAAAAGGCTTGAACTGGAATCAGCATTGAGCTGGTCCTCAGGAGGACTGAATTTCATTTTGTCCTCCCACGGCACTCATCCCTACATGTGTGCACACGCGCACTTCTTGTCACCCTGCTCTTGGAACTACACACTTCGAAGCCTGCCCTTCCCCAGCTCGGGCACAGACCCAGGTTTTCTCCAGGACAAGGCAGGCATGGCCAGCACACAACGCACACTCTGTTTGGTGCCGTTGTGTTCCTCCGTCTCCCTCTCTCTCTAGGTCGTGGCTCTTTAACCCCAAGCAGGTCACTGTCGTTTTTAAATAAGGACCAAAGACACGAATCCCGCCCCTGCATCCTCTGCACAAACTGCCCAAGAACAATGTAGGAACTGTGTTCTTGTAACAGCTACTCACATCCAGGGTCTCCTTCTGCCTGCGAAACACATGAGCTCATCTCAGACCACCGAGACGTGCTTCCGCCTCGCTCCTGCGATGGGCTGTCTTCCCCCAAACGGCCCAGAGGAGATCTGCTCAACACCCCGATGTTATGGGGCCTCAGTTCCCGGCGCACAGCGATATGAACCCTGCTCTCAAGCCTGCTGGAAATGTTGAGGCTGCAGAGCAGGTGCAGGCCGGATTTGTGCACTGCAGCTCAGGGACATTTCACTTGGCTTGTACATAAAGCGACGGGACCCAGAACAAGAGCCAGGGCTCATGATCCAACCAGTTTGTGTTTGTTTCCTTAAGCTCAACAAAGCCCAGCCCCCTGCCACATGCAAGAATCACAGCAGATCAAAGCACTTGGCAACAGAGGACACCGCAGTATCTGGGGGACAAACATTTCAAGTTTTTTCCTCAGACACACATCCTCCATGAAGCCTGCTAAAGCAAACAGGAACATTTCTCCCACTTAACTGGTTTTCTGTTATAGCTGCAAGAGACCTGCTCGCAGTTCCCTGGAGAGAGCACAAGAAAAACTGGCAGTAACTCCAGCGTGTCAACAATGTCCCTTTCTGCTTCAGGTACCTGTTTGTATCTGATATTTACTCCGGTATTAGATGGGGAAGGAGGAAGAACCTGACTCTGCTTTCCTTCCTTACCCTCTAAAGGCTTGAAAACAGATCTCAGCTCAGCTCACCTAGCCCTGCTTAAACTCCCAGGACAGTCTCACTGCTGCGAAACAGAACTTACCAACACAGCACAGTAATGCTGCCTTGTTTGTGAACACAGAGCCACAGGGCCAGGTTGCCAAGGAACAAGTATTTTTCTCTTTTATTAGCCAGCACGATCTGCTGAGCAGCTGACTGCCTGTTTACAATCGCTTTTATAGGGCAAAGAATTTTAAAAAACAACTTACCACCCCTGGAAAAGGCAGGGATGGAAAGCAGACAGACTGTCCCTTAGTCTCATTCCCAGATAAATCCCATGCAGTATCCCACCAGATTTCTGGGACCCTTTTTTCAGTCATTTTCCATTAAGTCCTACTTTTCTCTCCTATTACTGCTGTCTAACCTTCTACCTCTGAATTTGCTGAGAAACTGAAAGACAGACCCCACTCCTAAAGACACGAGCAGTTTCAAAAAGGGCAGTATAACAAAAGCTGGCTTCTCTAGAAACACCATTTGAATTCCTTCCTTCCACTCTGATTCCCAACAGACGGACGGAAGTACATCGCAATCAGGGATTTCAGACCAGAGGCTTCGCTTACACCAAGCGGTGAAATGCCCTTATCAAGCCATTGCTCATTTAGTCACCATCCCAGAAGACAACCTCACTTCAAAGACAGTCAGGCCAATCTGATGAAGTCCAGCAAACGGGAAGCAGCATCCGCAAAATACCCACATGGACAGACTTTTTAAAAATACCCAAACAATCTCCCCTTTGTAAAGCAAATTCCAGTAATGCCACAAGATCTATAGAAACTATTGTGCCCAAAGAGCACAGCAAGCACCCAATGAGCCAGAGGCCTAGGAAGTGTTGTTAATGGGCAAAGTTTAAAAATAATCCCCTCTTTAGAAGACTACAGAGGTGAAGCCAAGAAGCACATCTTCAGTCCTTTGGTTCCGTTCCTCTGAGATCACCTTCAGTGACTTTCACAGACGTTACCCACCATCTCGCATCAAACCTCACAAGACACGCTGCTGCCCTGGACGGCACTTGTGTTGCAAAGAGGAGAATGGCAACAGTCAAATGAGCTGTGCAAGAGGCAACTCACCTTTTTATAGGTAGTCTCGCCCGTGGAGTCCACTCCTCTGTGCCCTTTCTTTATCGTCTGTGAGCCTGGCTGCCCAGAACCACCTGGCATCTAGGATCGGAGTAAGACAGGGTAAGAACCAAGGATGTAAAACCCAGTGTTGTTAGAGGCCAGTGGCTGCCCAGAGCCACCTGCACAATTCTGCTATTCTCAAAGATGGAGCCTGAAGCCCCCGACTCCTGCACGCGTGCGAAGGGAGGACACGGTAGAAGCTGGCCTCCAGGTCAGCAACAGCACTGAAACGCCTCCAGAGAACCGACCGACTCCTGTGTGCCTGAGGGAGGACATCTAAATAGAGAGGAACACCTTCACGCAAGACCACCTGGAAGGGTTTGCTTCTTCCTAATCACCATCATCACAAACTGATCAGCTCTAAGACAGCCTGGACCAACTGCAAGCGGTCACTGTGCTTTCTGCCAGCAAGGCCAGGTCTTGGAGGAAACATCGTAGGAAGGTGGCACGTTCTACTCTGATTCATGGCACAAGAGCTCGCTTGACTCATCGTCTTCTGCCTAACACATGCAGTTGTTAAATGGTGTTTCTCAGTCAAAACGAGTTGAACGCCTTGCTCGCGGCAGATCTGTGTGGTGTTTTGGTGGCATGAGAATTGTTCACTTCCAGGACAAGCTGGGTTTTGAAGCAAAGACTCCCCTGGTAAGGAGAAATGCCCCAATTTCCCAAATGAGTACCTGCAGCTCTCTGTACTTACTGCTGCCTGGTTTACCCCTAACTTGAATGAGATTGGAAAAACAGCAAACAAGTCTGAAATTATGCATTCTTTCAGCCAGGGAACAAACCAGCTTGTCGGTCAGAAACTTACCTCAGGGGTGAGTGATTTTTTGAATGTAGATGATCCTGTCAAAAGAATAAAGCCACACTCAGAAAGGGTTAATCATTATTATGCATCACAAAAAAGCCTGATACACGGCCTTGCTTCGAACGAACATTTTAAGGCTTCTGAAAAAGCACTGACTCACAGCTGATTTCTTCTCAGCTTCTCCTCTTACAGCAGAGAGGATTCCTGTCAAGCCACAAGGAAATGCTATCCTGCTTACTGCTCGCCAGCCACACTCAGCTTTGTGTCGGTGCTGCAGGCTGGGGTCTGCTCTGCCGCGCTCCTCCAGCTGCACACCGACAGCCAGGACCCCCTTCCCAGTGGGATCTGCAACCTCCCCTCTTCGATGGACGTACACAGCTCTGCAGGATTATTGCCACCTCTTAATTAGAGCTGGGAGGGCCAAGTGCTCTGCAGTGTTCCAGTAGACGCACTCACCATGCTTTATCTTAAAATTATTTCCAAACTTTTTATTAAAAGGCCCAGGACATCAACCCTTCTGCTTGAAGCCAAGCCCAGGGATTTTCATAACTACCGTGGTGTTAAATATCTGCGAGGTGATGTACTAACTTTTATCTTTTAGGCCTGGATTCCTGTCTTGGGGTTTTTTTGGATGCAGTAAGAAAAAAAAAAAAAAAAAAGGCAATTAGATGACAGTGAGCCTCTGCGATGTCTGTGTACACCACAAAGCCACCAACCAGACTGAGCCCAGCGCTGGTGAGACCAAGAGCTCCCGGGACAGGGACACTGCCCTCGCCAGGAAGACGCATAAAACAGGGGTGTGCTTTCTGCCTCCAGCCCAGGAAAGCAGACAAGCTCTTTCATTTTGTTTTTCTTTCTGCTTCAAACACAGCAACTCTTTTTTTTTTTTTTTTTTTTTTTTTCACATGGGAGCCATGACCACAGCCTTATAAAACTGCCCCCACCCAGGAGCAACACCCCCATCATACCACCGAGTAAGCGCAGGGTTGCTTCCCCCAACGTCCAGTAATTGTTTTACCAGATTAAGCATTATGACATAAAATCCTTCTGGGTCCACCCATCGCTCGCTCAGCAGAGAAGCCCCTTCTGCTCGCCTGTTTCAGGCGGTGTAAAGACTCACACTGTGATTTCATCAAGCGCTACAGCTCTACAAAAGCCGCATTTCAGCAAAAGGAACAGAAGTACTTAACAGCAAAATCCAGCAGCCTTATGATCCCCTTATCGAGTGATCAAAGTTCTCATTTCAATACATATTAAACAAGCAAACAAGAAGAAAATCTGTGACAAATGCTTTTTGCTAAACAAAGCGAGCACAGAATGACTGGCTCCAACCGCCTTCCCACCCCCTCTCATCTCCCTTTAAGACAAGAAAGTTTGTCCTGACAAGCTCTTATTTTGGTGTTTGAAGTTTCTCAGGGCCAGCTCTCCTCCTCCTCCTCCTCCTCCTCCCAGCACACTCGGGGCTCTTTGGAGCCAGCACCCCACTTCACCTCTCGCATCCCTTCCCTCTCCCTCTTGCCACCGGCCCAGATCTGGGAGCATCTCCACCCAGAAGGAAGCTTCTGTGACTTAGTGTGTTATGATAAAACCAATAACACTCGACTCCATCACCTTGGCACAAGGCTTTTGAACTTGCCATGATCCATCAGGATACAGGGATTGGAGGAAACAATCCCGGCATCACAACAAAACACATGTTCGATAGCAATTAAGCCTTTTTTTAAGCAAGTAACTGCAATTATGTAACTTGGAACCTCTAAAAGCCCCGTGATTCAAGCAATCCTGAAGCAGCACCGCCAGCCTCATCACCTTGGAGATTCGCTGTGTTAATATTTAATCATCTGTGCAAAAACTGTATTCCACTGGGATTTAACTAAAGCTCTCTTGCCAGAGGACCCAGCAGCAAATCTCTCTGTTGCCTTAATCACACGTAACAAACATTAAAAGTGAGAATATACAACGAGCCTTGGCTGGAAGAGCCAGCATCCCAAAGCACGTCTGGTTTGTCCCTGCCATACCAGGGGGGTTCCTTATCTTGGGAGGGTTCCTGGTGATTTTCAGGATGTCGCACAGCATCTCAGTACAGACCTGAGCACTGGCTCCACCTCCTCCTCTTCCCCCACCGCCCCAAGACCACGGTGTCTGTTTGCCCCTTCACGTAGTGATTTGGGAAGCGACAACGATCCTCCCAGTCGGGCTGGTTACAAGAAACGGTGAGTCAACAAGGGAAAGCTTCAGGCTGTGGTCAGCATCGGCGCGGGCGCAGCACCGCTCCAGTCCCAGCACACCCAGTTTCCGCGGCAGGAAGCTCCCCCTCCCTCCCTCCCTCCCGCTAGTTTCCAAATGAGTTTGCTGCTGATTGGGAAATAGGTAATTCCTGTTTGACCATGATAAAAAACACTTATTCATGCCCGAGCACAAGGATGAACACACAGCTGATGAGGTCTGCTCGGCTCTGACTGAAGCTACGTACAGGTCTGTCACACGTTCTCCTGCAAAAACAAATTCTCTCGATTACCAAAAGTGTTACTAGCTGAGGTCAGAGAACAAAATTCAGAGGTTCCCATATGAAAACGTTTCAGTTATCTCCACCTCTTTTTATTGCTATGTAAGGCAGCTTTCTGTCGTCCCACACACACACTGCTTGGAGAAGTGAAGGTGTTAAATTCAACGGCATAAGCGTAACAAAATTAAATCGTTTCAAAGGAGCTGCTATTTCTGTTTCTGTTTAAACACCTCTAAAATGAAAGAATTCATCAATCATAAATCTGACCCAGATTGACAACTGAAAAAATGGCTTGAGACACCTAAACAGTTAATTCTGGCCAAAGGAAACAGATCAGGGTTAGAAAGTCCTGTCCAAAAGTGAATTCTTGATGTCCCAGAAAGCTTCCTTTTTTCTTCCTTTCGTGATTCTGGGAGCAATTCCTATGGGCCATTTCAGAGCATTCCTCAGAGCTGTTTACTGGAAGCTGAATCAACCTAAATAAATAGCTGACTGCCTTCCACCAGCCTTAGCTGTCCGGGATTATTTTCAGCTAGCAACAGATAGTATACTCTTACCGACTGTGACATAAATGCTAGGGGGAAAAAAGTTAAAAATGTTGTGGCTATGGCACCTGGTCAAACAGTTCAGACAAATATTTCACTGGAAGGGACATGTAACAAGGCCTTTGGGTCAGATCCTCCCTCATCTTGTCTAGCAAACGAGCATGCTAATTTGGTAGAGCCAGGACAAATACCCACTTCGCTCTATTTTTAAATAGGGCTGCTCAAACAGATTTTAGCTGCGCCTCATGTTTTCGACAAAAATAAAAAGTGAAAACGTTAGCACACCCAAACACATCATCAAGCTCAACTCTCCAGCCTGTGAGCGGGGCAAGCCGAGAGCCAGGACACGTCACACCGGCATGCACTGCCCTTCCTCCCCGGCCCTGCTGCTCACTGCAGGCTTTATCTCTGCCAAACAAGTGGCCAGGGCAAGAGAGGCACTTGGGTTTCCCCCAACCAGGTCCCCTTCCTGCTCAAAAAGGGGAATATTCTCCCTCCTCACTGGGACTCTCTGCCTGGAGGTGGTGGCACCATCGAGAAGAGCACGCCTGCACACCCCCGAGCCGGCCGCGAGCCCCAGCCTCCGACCCACCACGCACTACCTGGAGGACGTGCAGCACGTTGGAGCCTCCACGGACACATCCAACTTGCTGGCCGCACAGAAATCCCCCAACACATTTTTTTTTTTTTTTTTTTTCTCTGCCTGCAAATCCCCCACCACCACCCCCCAAAAAAGTCTCCTGGGATGCGTGTCCCCCTCCCAGCCCAAGGCCACGGCTGCAAATGCGAACAGCAGTGAGATTCCTTTTCTCCAAAGTGCAAACCAGGCAGAAACCAAAGCAGAAAAGCCCCGCTGGAACAATCCTGCTGGTGCACACAGGGATGCGGAGAGCTGTTTAGATGTCAGGAGAGCGCTTACACAACACACTTCAATAAAACAGCAGCTTTTGTTGAGAGCGGCAGCAGCTTATTTAGGGGAAAAAACCCACCAAGTTTGGTCAATCCTCAAAAGCCAAGACAGTTATGTAATATGGCATGTGGCTGCTGGTTACCGAGAGGAAGAAACCATGCCTTCTTTTAAGCACATATAATGCAATACATCTACCTCTTCGAAATGACATCACCGAGCAGCATAAAAAGCTGAAATCTATACGAGGAAAAACAAAAAGGTTATACAATTGTCACGGTGAACTGATACTTCAACTACTCAAAGAAACGAGATATTTTCCCCCAGAAAGTTAAAGAAACATGAAATCAGATTTCCACTAGTTACGAAAACAAAGGTCCAAACTTCGCAAGCAAAACACTTCTGAGCAAGGCACCTCAGTCACACACAGAAACAGCCTCTTCCACTGCTCTGGAAGATAAGAGCCTCAATATTTCATTTGCTTCTCTCAGGAAGCTCTTATGGAAAACTGTAAAAGTCTGGCCTGAACTAAAAGTCAAAGCCAACGCTCTTAATCACAGCAGCTGGAGATGGAAGAAAACCCCTGAGATCAGGCAGCCTGCCCCTGCCAGTGCAGACCATGGCCCTCCAGAGAAAGATAAAACACTTACAAACACTTGAGTTTGGCCAGAAGGCCAAGCAATGAGTAATAACTTTGAAATTCTCTGCATCAATAGATTTGTTCTGATAAATTATGTTAAGGACATTAAACCAACAGCATCAAAGCTGCCGTAAGAGAGCTCGTGAATTCAGTTTCTAGATAAAGCACTCTCTCCCGTTGCAGATTCCTGTTCAGGGTTATCTTCCCCAGCACTGTTAGCGGTCAGCAGCTGATGTACCCATGACTGATTTTACTGCCCTGGATTAGCACATCTTCCTCCCTCTCCCCTACACTTGTTTTATGAGCCTGTTGATGGAGGGACAGGACGGGACACTCCTGAGAGTCACTGGATCCCGCTGACGTGTCCGCGCTGGCAAGCGGGTGACACCCTGGGAAGAGGCCCAGGGAAAGACAGAGGAGACACAATCTCTGTAACGTTA